CTTGAGGGGGGAGGTGTATTTTTTTTTTCCTGCTTCCTAGTTGGGGGCTGGCTCTGAGGGTTTTTTTTCTTTACTTTGGGGCCAGGTCATTGAGGGCTGTGGCAGGGGGGTTGTTTTTGGGGGGGGGGCCTTGCTTCTCATGTCTGAGTGGCCCCGAGTGATGTTTCTGTGGGTCAGTGGCCCCCAACCAAGAAACAGTCCCCCTCCTCTGCATAGACCCTGTGTATAATGGAAACAACTTCATGTCACATGGTTTTGCAGCACCCCTAATTCCAGGACCTATGGAGGCTGAAAGGAGGAGGGGAATTAGGGTTGCCAGATGGTTTCAACAAAAAACCAGACACACTTGACATTACATCACAAACTACAATCTCAATTCTATTTTCTCAATTTGTTTCCCAAACAGAAAGTTCAAATACTGGACTCTCCGGTTCAAAACCAGATACCTGGCGACCCTAAGGGGAATTGTTCCAAACTGTGGCCTGGGCAATTCTTGCATGTGGTCTAGAGAGTTGGCTGCTCACTCTGGGCTGCCCCTCGTTGCTTCCACCTGCAGGGAGGAACTTTGAGGTCTGCAAAAGAAGCTAGGATAAAGAAAGAGCCGACCTAGCTGCATTTCTTGGGGGCATTGCTAGACACTAGACCGGGGTGGACAAGAGGGCCTCTGTGGGCTGGATCTGGCCTGCCAAGTGGGTTGATCTGGCCTGCAGAGGTAGTGCTGCTCTCCCACCCCAGACCAGTCAGGGCTGGGGATTGAGGGAAGTGCGTGCAGTTTCCTCCACCCTGCTCCATTCCTGCAAGGAGGGCAGGAGGAGATTTCCTGCGCTCCCCCACCCCCAAGCCCTGATTGGCCTGGGGGCAGAAGGAGGAGTGCACAAAGTCTCCTCCCACCACCAGGCATATGAGTGCCCAGGAAACACCTCAGGGGGAGAGGCGGCGGGCCAAAGACTTTACCTGCTCCCCCACTCCCACACAAATCATGGTCTGTGGGTGGAAAGCAGGGAAGTGTTCTGGCCCCGCTACTTCTGGAGTTACCCAGGGCCACTTCAAAAATTTCTGAAGTGGCCCCCCAGCAAAAAATGATTGCCCACCCCATACTAGACAGAGGACAAGTAGTATGGTCTAAGGGGTAGGCCACTGGACTCTGACTCAGGAAAGTTGGGGTCTGTTCTAACTTTGCCAGTGATCAACTTTATGACCTTGGCATGTCACACAACAAACAGACAAGCTCTTAAGTGTGCACACATCTGAACATTCTGATGAATCTCACACCCCACCATGTACATGTTTCAAGCTTCCTAAAATGGGAAGAAAATAAAAATTTCTATTTGAATACATTTAAGACCATTAATAATTGTAATTCCTCCAATTGTTCTTTCACTAACACCTTTTTGTGCTCTCTACCCATCCCCACCCCCAAGACAGCATCTCTGGCGCCCGAGTTCTCCTGACCGGAGCCAGCACTGGGATCGGAGAGCAGATGGCATATCATTACTCCAAATTTGGTGCTGAAATAGTTCTGACTGCCAGGAGAGAAACGCTGCTGCGGAAGGTCAGAGCCGCCTCACACAGTAGAAGGCAGAAGGGGTGAAGCTATGGGCATTTAAAAAAAGTAGAATGTAGGTCTGGTCAGACATTTTCCACCAAAACTGTCTCTGGACAGAAAATGGAGGAGGGGGTGGGGTTGGCTAAATGAATGTTTACGTGGAAAGTGTCTGCTTTCCAGAGAAAATGTTGATTTTGGTTTGTTCTGGGAAACACTGCCAAACCAAAATCGCTCAATTCTGAAACGCGACACCAGTGCCTTTTGGGAGCTGTGGTTTGTGTTCCTCATGCTTTCATTCTTGTGTATGGGCCACACTTCCATTCCCATGATGCAGTGCCACTATACGACTGCCATGATTCACCACATCTGCTCACCAGGAAGCGTTGCTGTGGTGCATCATGGGAGATGAAGTCTAAGAGGGATCCCAGCCTATAGAGGAGACATGGAAGTACGAGGCACTTAGATTGCAGCCTTATGGATAAGGCACTGGGGCAGCATTTCAGAATTGAAATATTTCCATTCTCAGGCCTAATATTTCACTCAACTCAAAATTTTCTTTGGAGAGGTAAAAAAAAAAATCATTTTCCAACCTGCTCAAATAATACAAATTCATCCATCTCTGGAGTTCAGAAATCATGGGAGAATAGGCCCAGTGTCAGGGTCTGAAGGGTTGGGGCTCTGAGAAGAGGAATGGAAGTACAGTGCATTAGGATTGGGCTCACCCAAGACTCTTGAAGTGTCATTTTTGGGCTTCATTCATATTCGGACCATTACACTGCTCTGACAATGCAAAGGGGCCTCAAAATACTGCAGGCCGCTTTGCCATGTCACTGCCTGAGGCCTTGTCTGCGTTTGAGGGTTATTTCTGATTAACTTGGGATATGAATTTAAAACAGAACAGCTATCCTGGTGTAGTTTTTCATGTAGACATTCTTATTCCGGGTTAAGGTTTTAATATGACGTGTTATAATTATTCCTTGGTTAAAGGAAATCACTCCCCTTTAGGTTGAATGGATGTAAATGTGTATAACTTTGTTCATAGTCGGCACTTATTGACAATGGCATGAAAACTGAGAGGTGAATGCTGTAACAGCCTCTTGCTTCTCCCCACCAAAAAAAGTATACTTAGATCTGTTTGTTATTCCTCGAGGTGATGGAGAAGTGTCTGCAGCTAGGAGCAAAGAAAGTCTTTTACATCCCGGATGATATGTCTTCTCCTCAAGCCCCGGAAAGGGTGGTGCAATTTGCTTTGCAAAAACTGGGTGTGTATTGAACTGTCTGAAGAATGACTGATACTGGGGGAGGACAGGTGTCACTCTGAAAGTCAGGCTCAGGACTACAGCAATTCCAGGTGTACCATGGCTAGAGGTTGCATCTGTCTTATTTTGAATGGCCTGGTCAGAAAGGTTCCCTGAAAATACCAAATTCTGATTCTCGTTTACTCTGCTCCACTACTGTGCCCTTGAAGTGGGGATGCACATTCAAATCCCTTGTACCCTTCCAGAGCAGCATTAAGGGGCCTTGCCTCAAATGCAATCAAACCCTCTGTCGTTGAGGGGCATTAACTAATTAACCAGGAAGGAGGCCAGTGTTGTTTTCCTTGTTTGACACGGAGAAACTGAGGCAAAGTGCAGTTCATGTCACTGGTTCGAATTCATGTCTATGGTAGCTATATAGAAACCAGCAAGATTAGATCTGACAAACCTGGCCTGTGTGGAGAATGCTGTTCCCATGTAGGCTGTGTGTGTGTAAGGAGCTCTCAGTCCAGTTCTTAATGGACATGTGTCCCCTCCCAGCCCAGCTAGCCTCAGGTGCAGCTCAATGGTAGCCTCTGCCAAGAGACCAAGGACTGATGGGCTGTGGAGACTTGAACCTCTGGGAGTGGGTCTCTCTGAATTGAGGAGGAATTCAACAGGTGGGACAATGCCAGCAGATGTTCCCTGGGCCAGGAGGGAAGCCGTGCTGCACAAGGCAGGAGCAGGCTTCAGCAGTGGGCTCTGTCCTCCAGGGATGCCAAAGCTAGAAAAGAAGGATGGTCCAGTGGTTAGAGCACTAGCCTAGAATGCAAGACACTTGAGTTTAGTTCCTTGCTCTGCCACAGCTTCCCTTGATCACCCTGGGCATCTCACTTGGTCTTTCTGGGGCTCAGTTCCCCATAATGCCCTGCTCCACAGAGTTGGAAATGTAAATACATTAAAGAGATTGCAAGGTGCTCAGACTCTGCTATTGGGGGGCTCGTGTAAGTCCTTTAGAACCACATGAAGGCCTTTCTCTGGTTTAGCTGTGGATCATACCTGGCCCAGCAGCTCTCCGGCTGTGTCACACCTCCCACGGATAACCCAAGTCCGAGTAATCAGAACTGGGAGCTGCCTTGAGCAGGCTCCAGCTGGTGGAACTTTTCCCGCAGCCCAAAGGAAAGAGCAAGCTGGTTTGCTTCCACCTTTATGGAGCATCTCCTGGATAATTCCACACCTGACCCTCTCCCCCATCCTTCTCTGCTGCTTGCAGGGGGACTGGATCACCTTGTGCTGAACCACATTGGCAGCACCCCGTTCCGGATGTGGGAGGGGGATGTGGAACACACCCGCTGGCTCCTACAGGTGGGTTTCTGCAGCAGCGAGCGCGCTTTCCAGGCTCAGCCTGGCTTTGACAGGCATGGGGCAAATTCAGTCCTGGGCCAACTCTACCCAAATGGGGCCCCATGAGACATTCTGTTTACTGTTGCCAGTGCCCAGGGTTGCCATCCGTGTTGGTTTTTTTCCTACCAGTATTACTAAAGTGACACCACATAAAGCCAGGGCACGTGAAATAAGGTGCAGGCTGCTGGGCCACAGCACTGAGTGAGAGACCGGGCGCTCCCTCTGCAACCAATCAAAGCGCTGCTACGGTTCAGTTGGCACCTCCCACAAATTCTAAGTACACAAGCGCAGTTCGCAAAACTGCCCTGTTCCAGGAGTGTCTTGGTTACGACAATATTGTGGCCCCCTGAGATGAAGGAGGGCTGCAAGGAGGTGATCTGGTTAGTTTATTGCTACTCAGCCGCCTCTCTGTCTGTCCTGCTCTATCCGGTTTCTACAGCATCCATCAGTGTAGTACTGTGGTCCCCAACCTTTCGTGGCTGCCGGGCATCCGGGGGTGGGGCCGCCCACGTGCCGCGCTTCCGGGGGTGGAGCCATGTATGTGCTGCGCGCCCAGGGGTGGGGGCCACCCACGCTCCACGCGGCCAGGTGTGCCGTGCGACGGGGGCAGGGCCAGCCCAGATGTTTCGGTGGACGCACATAAATGCCATGGCGCCCGCGGGCAGCACGTTGGGGACAACTGGTGTAGTAGCTAGTGAGGGTGTGTAGCATGGCATTGGCTCCTAGGACCCTGCCTAAGAGTCATGGCTTTCTAGTCAATCACTTCAGTGCGTATCCAGCTATTGTGCCATATACAGATGGACTTATGCCAAGTAAGGCCTAAGTGTGGTTTAAAGCAGTGATGCAAAAGCCTACAGGTCTTTAGCCAAACTAGCCAACTCCTTAGGCCTAAACACGAGCTCAGTAAGTGACCCTGCAGCGCAAGATCGAATGGTGACCTCAGCAAGTGGTGGTGTACTGCCGGTGGGTAACAGCAAGAGGCCAGTTACAGATATTTTCGGTCTCGCCATGGTGACAGACTGACGTAGCCCCTGTCTATTTGAGAGAGTGTCTGTCTATCTCCTCAGTCTAGAGCCCCAGAGAGGTGCAGCTTTTCCCTGGATGCGTTGTACAGCAAACCAAGCACTCCAGGCCTTTCCTTTCGTGCCCTCTGCACTGGCTGGGTGACCCCATCTCCAGTCCTCCTGCTACGAACAAAAGTTTCATTTTGGCCTTTGCTGCCAACCTACTGTTCCTTTCATGTCTCATCTCCTTTTGTGCCAGGTGAATTTTCTTAGTTACGTGGCCTTGGCCTCTGCAGCTCTTCCCATCCTGGCTGAGAGTAAAGGATCTCTGATTGTGGTTTCTTCCCTCACAGGTCAGTGCTTGACACCTGCCCAGAGCTGTAGTTGATAAAGCCCACAGTCTCTCCATGCAATGCCTCGGCTTGACTCTGAAGGAGTTGCTAAGACCTGCCTGTGGTGGGAATGGGACTTTGGCCCTTGCCAGGGCTTCTTTGGATCACACCATTTCATGTTCCTCTAGCACCGTGGTCACCAACCCATCGATCGCGATCGACTGGTCGATCACAAGGACTCAACCAGTCGATCTTGAGGCATTCGGGCACCCTCACCCCCCATTTCCACCCACCCCCGAGAAGCCCCACTACCTACCTCTAGTGTAGTGCCGGCTTCCCGCGGGGTGGACAGAAGTCCTGTCTGAAGCCCACGTCACTTCCGGGGGTTCCGGAATTGCGCAGGCTGCTCCCCTCCCACAGCTCTGTTGTGTGCTGGGGGAGGGGGCGTTAGCCCTGGAGGAGGAGTGCAGCCCCTTCCCTGCGCCACTGGCGCCGGAAGGGTGAGTCGAGCGCCATGGGAGCAGGGGTCAGCCCCGGGGTTTGGCCTGGGGCAGGCATCCATGGGGGTTTGGCCATGCTGCTGGGGGCGGGGGGGCGAGGGTTGGCCCCGCCGTGGGAAAGAGGGTTGGCCCTGGGGCAGGCGCCCATGGGGCGTTGGCTGGGGTAGGTGGGGGGGAGAATCCTGGGAGGAGGTGATAGCAAGGGACTCTCTGCCCCCACTCCCCCCCGTCCTCTCCCCACTCCCCAGCCTCAGAAACCTGTCCCCACTGGCACCCTGTCCAAACAGGTTCCCTGCCCTTCTCAGAAATAAAGACAATGCAGAAACTTTTTGTTTGACATAGCATTTTATTTGAAAATGAAGCCTGGCCAACAAACCCCCATCTGGCCACAGCATCATGACACTCCTGCACCCCCCTTTTCCCCAGACTGTACATTTCAGCCTATCATACACTGAAACCCCTTGCCCTGAGCCCCTCACATACCCCAACCCAAATTTCTGAACCCTCACATCCAGAAGTCTGTGACTTACGTAGTACCCTAACCCTACATCTGACCCCAGCACTGCCCGGCCTGGAACTCCCTCCCCACCCAGCGTTCCCTTCTCCACTTCCTCCTGCATCCAGATTTCCTCCCAGAGCTTGCACCTCTCACCCCTTCCTGCACCCAAATCCCTCATTCCCACCCCCGGAGCCTACACATCCTGTCTCAACCCAGCGAGGGTAAGGCTAGACTGCAGGAGTTTTTCAGGATTCTGGAGATACCCTAGAAAAACTCTTCCGCATCCAGGGGTTTGTTTGTTCTTCCACTTCTATTAGTAGAAGAGCAAACATGATCTTTTGGTCACCCCTATATTCTTCTTTCCACGAGGAATAAGGGGGCTTCCGAAAGAAGGGGTTTTTCTGACATTTGGTCAAGTCTAGACAGGCCAAATGTTGGAAAAACCTCTTCCTACAGAAGAATTGGAGGGGAGGGGGGGAAAGCAGCAGTGTAAGGGATTGGGGATAGCAAGTGATGGAGAGGAAGAGAACAGAGGGCGGGGCTTCAAGGAAGGGGCGGGGCTTCAAGGATGGGGCGGCAGATCTTGGCGTGTTCTGTCATTTAAGAAGTGATCTTGGCTGTAAAAAGGTTGGAGACCACTGCTCTAGCACTCCCCACCTTCCGAGCACTCCTCCCAGGGCATATACACTCGCCCGCACCAGTAAAATGCAGCCACCCCTCTGGCATGGGAAGGCAGCAGCCAAACTAGCACACGAGATATTTTGGCCAAGAGTGTGACCTGATTGCTACAGGGGCAACCCAGACAGCAAGGAATCCTTTTCCCCGTGTCTGATGAATGTTCTGGTGCATTATGGGACTACATGTTTCCATCTTCTAATGCATTCGGTACTGAGCATTGCTGATATGAGGCTCAATAGCCTGATGGACTGTAGCAAATTCTCTGTTCCTATGTGATTTTCCCCCCCCCCCCCAATGGGGTTTCCCCCAGCTGTGCCTTCACCTTCTGTCATGCTCTGCCAGTGGTTTCACTTGGTTTCCTCTTTTCTTGTTTTCCTTTCTAGGGAAAGTCTCCACTCCCTTCACAACCTCTTACTCCGCCACCAAGTTTGCTCTGGATGGATTCTTTGGCTCCCTGCGCCATGAGCTTGCCATGCAGAAGCAAGATGTGTGTATCACACTCTGCATCCTGGGGCTGATCAACACTGAAGTGGCTTTGGAGAAGACGAGGTGTGTGCGCTTCCGAGCGGCTGTTCACAAGTGTGCAAGAGAATGGTGTGAAAATGTTTACATGTGTGAGACTGCAAACATGTGCGTGAGTGTGCAAGAGTGCATGTGTGGAAGGGTGGACCTGGTTGGCATCTTTCTCTCCTGAGATGTCCATTTGCAAGGAGCAGGCCAGCGTGGTGATGGGTGGGGTTGTGTGACTTGATGTTTGTTCCCTTCCAGGGACAAGGTGTACCTGAGCGCCTATCCAGCTGACGAAGCTGCACTGGCTATCATCCAAGGGGGAGCCACCAGGGCGCGGGAGGTGTTCTACCCATGGTGGCTGGAGCTGGTGTGCCGCCTGCGGGATTGGTTCCCTGACCAGAGGGATGTTGTCATACAGAGCTTCTATAACTACACCAGCACCTGAGTGGTGCTGAGCAACCATTCCCTTCACCCTGCAGTGACAGGTGCAAGGCCCTCCCTCCCACTGAGGTCAGATCATTGTCTTCAATGGGAGCAGGATTTGAACCTGGAACAAGAAAACATCAGGGAATCCTTGGCTTAGGGTCCAGTAGCAACCTTAGCGCTGACCCCTCCTCTGTCCCCATCAACCTTAGCTCCGACTCTCTTCCTCCATCCATGTCAATGTCTGACCCTCCCTCCTCCCCGTCAGTTAGTCCCCGACCCATTTTCTGTCCCCAGCAACCTTGGTTCTAGCCAGTGTTCCCTCTAAGCTGAGCACTTGGGCGGTCACCCAGGAGAGATTCAAATACCGCCCAGCTGATTAGCAGAGCGCTCGTGGCTGCAACGTGTTTCTGTTAGTCGGGTGTATTTGTACATACCCTGGTGCACAAAACAACATTTATTCTGTACAATGATGGAAAAATTTAGAGGGAACCTTGGTTCTGACCCCACCTCTATCCCATCAACCTTAATTCTGACCCCTCCCCCCATCCATGTCTGAATGCCCCTTCCTCCCCATCCACCTTAACTCTCTGCCCTCCTCCGTTCATGTCAGTTTTAACTCTTTGCCCATCCTGCTCCCTGTTCATAGTCTATGCATGGTCGAAAGGCCTCGTGCTGCCATCTGATCGGCACCACCTCAGCAGCCCTTGCTACATTGTCTCTAGCCTCTCTGGCTTCATCTGTTCATTGATATGGGTAGGAAACTCCCCCCCACCCCCCGCTCCAGCCCAAGATCTTCCAGGGCTAAGGACTCCCCACTTCTCCAGTGCAGCATCCTCCCTGCCAGAAACTCACCTGACGTTCCTACCCCAAGGATAACTTCCCCCATAGGAGGCAGACCTTTCTAGTGGGATAAATTCTTGCGCCCCTTGCTGGGTTTCCAAGGGCCCTGGGATTGGTGAGCTGGGGGCTTGGATGCCTTCCAGGAGGGATATGTTCACCAACCCCAGAGCGGCTCCAGTCAGCCTCCATACTCCTTCCCCTCTTAGCCAATAAGACATGGGCACTAGTCCAGAAATCCCCCTTGCGTGCGAGTCAGGTGGCTTCCCCTTTTGCCACTGGGCAAGGAGAAAGTTCTATGTTAGGGGCTGGGGGTTTGCTTGGGGGTCTCCCCCTTGCCTGGTTGACCAGAGCAACAGGCAAAGATGATACTCACAGCTCTTGCCCCCGGTTGGCAGGTGGGATGTGGAAGAACCAGTGGGTCCCACATGCAGGGGCGGCCCTAGACTAGCTGCCAGCAACTGGCGCCCTAGGCGAACCAGGCAATTGGCGCCCCCACCTCTAAACCCCTCAATGATATTGCGCCACCATTTGGCGCCCCATTTAACTTGGTGCCCTAGGCAACCGCCTAGTTTGCCTATATGGACAGGCCGCCCCACGTGCCCGCAGCCCCCCCACCCAGTTCAGGGTGCAGCCAGCACACCCTTCCCAGCTGCGCCTGACCCCAATTCAGGTGGAGTCTGAGGCCTGGTTGTCAGCGGTGCCAGCCACCCACAGCTGTTCTCGAATCCAGTGGATTTTGTGGGTGATCAGCCCTTCTGCCTGCTGCAAAGCCAGTGTGAATGGGGCAAGGCAGCCTGGCTCCCACAAGGTGGCAGTA